TTTTCTACCGTGAAGCAGTTGTGTTTGCATAGCTGTGGTTTTCGGTTTGTAGGGTGGGATATGGCGTGAATTTACTGGGTACAGAGGAATAACATCTGAGTCTTCGAGAATGGCAACGCGTGGGGGGTATCATGAGCGAAACAGTATACTCTGTTATGTCCAAGGTACTGCTCATGTCTATAGGCAACGGTTACCACTTTCCATCAGGTGGGCCGTCAGCTTGTTTGTCATTCTAAGTTGTATAAAATTAAATAAAAAAACTGTTCAATGTATTGAGTCTCCCATCCACAAAATGGGTATTGGCGACCCGCACCAATATTAAAGTTAAATGAGTTAAGGGCCGCCTGAAAATCAGCTCTATATAGGTACATCTAGCTGGAGGTGTGCACATATAGCAACAGCTGAGGCGGCTTCTATTACCAGCAAAATGATTTTTTTTTACCTCTTATTGTTGCTGTTGGTAATAAAGACTATCATCATATATATATCATATCTATCTATCAAGAAGATGATGATAATGAATCGATAATATCATATAATCGGTTACATAATCGATTAATAAGATTGAACAATCGGTACCCAATAATCGATATTCAGGTAGGCAACACTAGTACTCAGTAACATTGTCTACTTTCTAACTCTAAATGGGTTAATAAACTATTTAACCATTTGACTAGTTAGACAAAACAAAACTTTAGTTTATGCCGGCTGTTGTTACAATTATATAAATAAAATGTAAGTTAATTGTTTCACGGAGAGAAACCTTTGTGGTTTTTTTTTTATATTTAAGTCTCTTTCTATTGTGGTTTCAAGTTGTTTCTGGTGTAGTTTTTGTTAGAATACTTAACTGAATACTATCTCTATTATGTGTAAAAAAAATAATCCTTTTTTTATTTTATTTTATTTAATCTTGTAATATAATAAAATTGTAACTCGAAGATATCTGTACATGGGAGATATTTAAGTAAAAATAATATAAGGGGTCTTTCAAATACAAATTCAAATCGTTTTTATTCAAGCATTTTAAATCGTCAATTTTGTTTAATCTGATACAGTATTCGGTCTTAAAAAGACCAATAGATGTCAAAATAATAATGTTTAGAAGTGTTGTCTCTCTGTCTGTATATTTGATTTGGGATTATGAAACAACTGCTGCACCGAATTGGAAACGGTTTTCACAGTTGTGTTTAAAATTATTAATTCACTCTTGCGCCACCTGCTCTTTGTTATCTGTTCTCCCTTAACTAAAGGTTGTCTGTAAGAGATTGCCCTAGCGATAAGACCGCCTTTTGTACCTTTATGTGTATATTTCAATCTGTATTTATGTTACTGTATTTCATTTGAATTATTCACTTGTCATTGTATATTTTTATTTATGGTGCAATAAAGAGTTAAATAAGTAAATAAATAAATAAGGTTTAACTTAAAATCTTGTGTGCATATGATGGTATTTCAACTAAATATGCCATCTAGAACTGTTCTGTCTTATTGGTTTTCTTCTTCCAAAATTAATACGAATTAGCTTGTAAAATGCAAGTCTTCTATATAATGTTACTTAACTTATTAACTTGTATACTCTTACCTTTGTAGATCAAGTAAAAATGTCCTTGATTTTGGGAGCCTGGTGACCTGCAAGACGGGTAATCCTAGTACCGACACCAGTCTCTCACAAAGATTGTTTTTAAATTGTAACCTATATAGCTGTAACCTATCAGCTGGGGGGAAAGGGATTGTTAGTAATGGAGACTGAGAATCCTATTGCTAGCAATATACCAAACCAGGTCGACCTCCTCGTGGTTCTCCCTGGAAACTATCATGGTTAATTCCTGATGAATTTATCATGATGGGCTAACTGGCCTGTTTTCATTCTCATCTATCACCCTTCACTGGTGCTCCGCTAGTGTATCCCGTTAGCGCAGGCGGGGTTACCATATCATTTACACCCATCAAAAAAAAAAAACCTATTAGCTGTAAATTTTATTATGTTGTCATTTTAGAATAGAAGAATAGAATAGAAACTTCTATTGCCATACAATTACAATATAAAATATAAATAACATATATAAAAAGTGTCCCATACTCGGCAAAAGGAACCGACTCAGCTGATGCTGTGAGTGTCCCAGCGCAATGTGAACAGCTGCACAGCGCTGGTTTTCAGCGAGTCCCTCTCTTAACAATTTTGTGAGAGAAATAAAAAAATATATTGTGAACTGTGTGAATTATTAACTTACTCTTGCATAACGATTTTACCTTAAAAAAAACAGTTAAATACAAGAGAGAGACATTGTTCAAAAGTCGTGTGCTTGTGTGAAGTAGTTGTGTTTGCATGGCTGTGTTTCGGTTTGAAAGGATATGGCAGTGACTTTACAGGGTATAGAGGAATAACACCTGAATCCTCAGGAATGGCAAGGCATGGGGTGTATCATGGGCGAAACAGTATACTCTGTTATGTCAATGGTACTGCTCATGTCTATAGGCGATGGTTATCACTTTCCATGAGGTGGGCTGTCAGCACGTTTGCTATTCTAAGTTGCATAAAAAAATTAAATCAGACTAGTTATAGAAAGGGAATCTCAATATAAAGCCTATGTCAAGCGGCCTGCCTAATTATCATCATTCACATATCAGCCTTTAACTGTCCACTGCTGAACAAAAGCCTCCCCCTTGGGGGGTTAAGCCAGTAGTTGCCATGCTTGGCAGGCGGATTGGTAACCGCAGTTAGACTTTAGAGATGTTTTAAGAAGGACGTTGCTGCTCGTCCCTCGCCCTCCCTTAGTCGCCTCTTACGACACCCACGGGAAAGGAAGTGGTGGCCTATTCTATGCCGGGACCACACGAGTATGTGCTTGCCTAATTATATTCTTTATTAATATATTAAAATTTTAACTGGACGATGAATGTACATGGGCTATATTTAAGGATAATGAATATAAGGGATTTAAACAAGAGCAATTTAAGCGAAAACAATAATTTTTAGAAACGTGCGTTTTTCAGTGCACTTTTTTCCACACACAACCACTTTTTGGAATCAACTTCCAGCAGTACTATTTCCAAACCGACACGACAATATAACCTTCAAGAAAAAGCATATTTCTTTTGAAAAGGCCGACAGCACACCTGCAATGCCGTCAGTGTTGTGGGTGATCATGGACGGCGGTAGTCACTTCCCATCAGGTGAGCCGCATTTTCGTTTGCCCCCCTCTGTTGTAAAAAAACATAGTTTGTCTATTTCTATGTTTGTTCCGGAATCAGGAATAAACCTACACCTAATTAGATGCGGTTTTCATAGCTATACTCCTAAAGATCTTACTTAAAATCTGGTACATGTTTCATTTTGATACGCCGATCTAAACAGTTACATTTGGGGGGAAAGGGTTTGTTAATAATGGATTCCAATAGCTCCATTGCAATTAATATACCCTGTCAGGTCGACTACCATGCACTTCTCCCTGGAAACCATCGCAGTTAATTCTTGTCGAATTCTTCACGATGGGCCGACTGATCTGGCCTGATTGACTATAACTGGTGCCGCCAGCGTATACCGATAGCGTAGGCGGAGTTACCATTCCATTTTCACACATTAAAAAAGACAAAGAAACACTTACGAACATATTTGAAGTCATGACTTCTATGTAAATCGTAAATCCGGTATATCTCTTCCAGTATTTCACCATTTATCTAACGTACTCTCAAAGGAGATGAGATTGTACGAGGAAATAAATAATCGCTTCCACTCTAGAGAAACTTTAAGAAAATATCTATTCAGCTTGAAATGTATAGCTTTCTAGTTATCAGGAATATCCACTAAATTCTATCCTCTTTATTACTAAGATTGTTCGCTTTCTAGTTATTAGGCATTACCACTAAATTTTATCATATTTTTTTTAAAGAATTATAACGGCGCACTCAACGTTACTGGTTTTCTCGGTATTTCTATCTTAGCGCCTGATTATCCCAAAAACCACCAAAAGTCCTTTTTTTCTTGATTATTCAAATTAATGTAAAAATAAAAATAATACTCTGTTATGTCTGTTATGTCTATGCTACTGTTTATGTCTATAGGCGACGGTTACCACTGTCCATCAGGTGGGCCGTCAGCTTGTTTGCCATTCTAAGTTATATAAAAAAAAGGCTCGCCATCGACAGGGAATTCACCCTCATACCTTACAGCCTAAATGGTCGCGTACAACGCGGTTTCAGAGATGTTTTCTCCCACGAACACTCAGGTTATGGAATGAGCTACCTGCCGAGGTTTTCCCAAGAGACTACAGCATGGGGTTCTTCAAAAGGGGGGTAAAGAGGTTTCTTCAGAGTCGGCAACGCGCGCATAATACCTCTGGTATTGCAGGCGTTCATAGGCTACGGTAACCGCTTACCATCAGGTGGGCCGTATGCTTGTTTGCCACCTCAGTGGTATAAAAAAAATGCTAGCAATTGCAAAAGCGTGGAAACTACTGGCAAAACTCCCCTAATGGAGGAGGATTAAGTTTCGTAGTGGACATTTATTGCCTGTTTAAAAAAAAATAGACATGAATCATAGGTATAAAAAAATAAACCCTGATACTCACAGTACGCCTAATGTGTAGCTTTTCCTTAGAACAGTGATGGTATACCTCTATGCCCTGTAATTTCACTGCCATATCTCACCATTCAAACTAAAACACAGCCGTGTAAAGCTGCTTCATGATAGAAACATGAGTGGGACAGAGATTTTTAAACGGACGATAATGGAATGGTAACCCCGCTTGCTAACAGTATACGCTGGCGGTGCACCAGTGAGGGATAATAGGTGATAATGAAAAGGCAGCTCAGTTAGCCTATCATGATGAATATACCTGGAATTCAGCACGATGGTTTCCAGGGAGGACCACGTGGAGATCGACCTGACGAGATATATTGCTAGCAATGGGGCTGGTAGTCCGCATTACTGACGGTACCTTTTCCCCCAATAGGACAGTGATACTTTACTAACAACTCCTTTTCCCCAAGTAGACCGAGAATTTTTTACAATGTCTTCTCTTAATAATCATGTTATAAGAGGTATCCTAATATAGACAACAGATGCGTAATCATGGACCGTAATCTATGCGCGAGTTATATTCCAAAAATTAAATTTCAAATACTGACGATCGTCCCATAATAAAACCTTATTGTTATGCAGCAACAATAGAAAAATACCATGAAAATAATATAAAATAAAAGAAAATAAATAATGAAACGGAGCCTTCGGTGTTTTCGTCTGAAAGGGGGTGTGCGGGTGGGGGCGGGGAGGGGCGTTTTCAGTCGTAAGCCCAGCGCTGTACGCGGCGCACGCTACCCGCCCGCCGGACGCGCGGTCTCACCGCTCTAACAGTGTCACCCGTGCTCCTAATACTCAGTGGAAACGTGTAAGATTCTAATAGTGCTGTGTATGTGAACAGTGTCTCGTATGGATGTATGAACAAGGTAATTACCAATCCTATAATCTCGGTGTGTGAGGTTGTATAATTTAGCCCCGCAATGGGATGTTTCAGGTATTTACGTGAGTTACCATTCGTTTATTTCACGTTAGCTTATTCGGCGGGGAAATATGGAAGTGTCAATGCTTTCTTGTGTTAGGGTAATTAAGTAAAAGTGTGGAATTATAATGAAATAACAAATTTTTAATTGATAAGATATATAATTTTGATAGTTGCGAAATTGCATATGAAGTACTAACATGAATAATTGAAGTTACATTTTGATGTATTAAAAAAAATATATATATTACGCCAAGTTTTCGTGTGTTTCCAGCTTTTAAAGCCTTTATGCGCGCGTTGGGATGCGTTAACGACTTTCGGTGAAATTAATAAGGATGTTGTAGCAGGAACACCCTTGTATTTAGAGGGAAGTTGGTATGAAATGTGGATGTATTAAACAACATTAGGCAAAAATGTTTTTTACAGCTCGAATTTAAAAAATGTAGCTACATTTTTTTTTATTTTTAATGCGTAGTGGCTTTGAAACTTTGTACCAAACAGTTTGATGTCGGTAATAGTAGAGTAATATCCTCAAATACCTAATAGAGGTCAATCCGGGCCCAATATTGGGATGTTATTGTATATATATACCATTATACATTTAGAAAGACTTCATAAAATTCTCAAGTGACTTCAAAAAAAGATAACACTCTATTGAGTGGCCCATACTAGTTTAGTTAAGACCGAAATAGTCTTTTGTAAACAAAACTTAAAATCTTTTGAAACATTATTTCGGCAACTATCGTTATATATATATATATATATATATATATATATATATATATATATATATATACCTGTTTTTTGTCATTAAAAAAAAGCCAAAGATAGTCTATGGGCGTATATACTATCGATTAAAAAAGTGTCATCGTTACCGTCACAAAACTTGCTAAGTTATGACGTAGATAGAAACCGTGTACATAAAAACAACCAAATTACGAAATACCTTATGAAATTGGTTGAAAATGAAATAATACAGCCCCGGGCATTCCATACAAAGAAGGTGTGATCACATCTGTCACTACTACATAGACAGATGATGTTTGTACACGCTCAAATGTGTGTGTACCGAGCGCGGCGTATTCTTTTTTCGAACGGTCATATTTGAAACATAGAGAGGGGTTGAGGGTAGCTGGAGAGAGGGGCAGGGAATAGACATATAAGGACAGTAATATTAAACGATGGTGATACTATGTAGCGAAGAACGGAAGCGAGTACACGTTTCTCTAAGAGCGGATAAGATGTGATTTTTTAATTGACTGACGACATTAGCCGACTGTCAATCAATCATTCCGCTGCTATGGTGCATTCAATACTCAATTAATTCACAAGCCATAAAGTAATTATAATTTTTATAATATATAAGTGCTTAAATCATCATTTCAGCTATTATTCGTCCACTGCTAGACATGAGCTTCTCCCATAGACTGCCATAAAATGTTTAAATATTGCTTTTGAAATATATATAAAAAACTAACTAAGCGACTTTGTCATGGCAAAATTATTAAGCATTGAGTAGTATGAATGAATGGATGAATAAATGAAATTTATTACTAAAATGTGATACAATAAGATGATAGGGTAATATTACAAAATTAATCTCACTAGTTTAATTTTAAAATTAATCAAACACACTAATAAACGACGAGACGTTTTGTAGACATATTAGATTTAAAATATTTGAATTTACTATCCAAAATCATGTATTCACACAAATATATTTTGTTTTGTAATAATTAATTTTTTGCTCTACAAACGAAAGCACAGTTTCAATTCATTAATTTTCAATTAAATTCAAGAATTCACAAAATCTATTTAGAATTTTCAATATTCCATTACGTGGATCGTCGATTTGTTTACTAGGTATTCTAAATTGCATAACAAATTAAGCATAAGACATATGTGAAAAGATAATTGAATGCACATATCAATTGTTTGAAATTATTTATTTATTTATTTTTTACATTACATTACAAAAAAAATGTGTGGTACAAAAAGCGGACTTAATACTACATATCGTCATAGTCGTAGAATACTGACGGATATTTATATGTAATATTTGTCAGATCCGTCAGTATTCTACCACTATGACGATAGCATTCTCTCCCAGTCAACCTTTGGCAAAACAGAAATGTAATTGTACGGTGAAAAATTGAAAATTGTTGTAGATAAACAATTATTCATATCTCTATTATTGTATTCCTTATGGTGAATTAACATTTATTATATTGATGTAACACTTTAACGAAACTTGTATATCACGATTAAATAAATAAATAAAACAATAATTAAATGCACCGTCTACGTATTTCTCGATTTGCCCAATGGTTGACTGGTAGAGAACACCGGCCGGTATTAATTCCGCCAAATGTACATAGAGATTTACTGTAAATTAAAATTTAAATTTATAAGTAAATAATTAAATTGTGTTCCATAAAATAAACCGACTTCAATTGTAAAAAAAAAAAAACAGGTATTTTGATGTAAAAATGAAATCACTGAACTGTTTTCAGTAGAATTAAAATTAAAATTAAAAAAATAAATTAGAATTAAAATTTCAATTAGACTAATCTGTAAGTAACTTTAGATAATATATATATATATATATATATATATATATATATATATATATATATATATATATATATATATATATATATATATATATATATATATATATATATATATATAGAAATATCTCTTAGATAAAAAAAAAAAGAATTTGCCTAATCAGTTTGTAACTGACGAAGTTATGAGTATTACAGGCATTAAAGAAAAAAAACATACAACCGAATTGAGCATTACCTTCTTTTTGAAGTCGGTTGAAACTACAAACGAATTGCCAATCTACTTGTAACAAGTTGCTCAATTTTTTATACCATGATAGCGGTAAACAAGCATATATTCCGTCTGATGTTAAACAGTTACTGTAGCTTCTAGACGCCTGCAACATATCTAAAAGTTACAAGGTTTTTTAATGTAAAATAAAAAATAAAAAAAAATATCTCCTAAATTGTCTATGGTTATTCTCTTATAGAAACATAGCAATGTGGTACTTTTAAAAAGATCCGTAGTGCTAGGTTTTCTAAATATCGAACTTCATGCCAAATTCCTTGCAGGATAGGCAGAGAGAATCGAGTGCCAAAGCTCTCTAAGCTTACACACATCTCTTGCTTTCTGCACATTCTTAATTCATCTCATGCATCCGCTTTCGGAGATTCTTGATTCCATCCTAAGATAGAAATATTAGATATTATTTATTTCCCGTTACTTTGTCCGCGTCAATCAATATATAACGTATTCTATGTTTAGCTAGAATAGGTTATAGTAAAATATTACCTGTGTACTAATTTTATCCAAATTCGTTCAGCTGTTTAAGCATCATCGAGTATCAAATGCACAAACATCTTTATAAATCTTTACATTTATTTATTTATTACCTAATTAATAATATTAGCAGGACTTCTACTGTTAATAACCTATTAACTCGCTAAGTAAATAAGTAAGAACTATGTTAAAAATTTCATGACTATTTAATACAAATAAACTCATTTCATTTGAGGTGCTAATTGAAAATCAGCGTTTTTCCTTCTGCAGGAACTTTAAGCTGAATTGGCATCTTTTTTCATTTTCATACCATTGGTCGAATTTAACTAGATATTGTAATTTATTTATTTATTGGAAAACCAACAGCTTACAATTTATAGCTTAAAACAATAACAACTTATCCATAAAAAAGCCAATAACAGGTTTTCACTGACTTAGCGATATAAATTTGTCGTGGCTAGAGTAATTATAAAATTTAAAAGGAAATAAAAATAAAAAATATTATATATGTTATTGTTAAAGCCTAAACATTGATAAGTCTTAAGTTTAACTAGTAAATTTTAGGATTTACCAATATGAGCTGGTAATTTCGTAAATGTTTCAAAAATTCCTTATTATTTATTTAAAATGATGCCTACTTTGATATTAATAAAAGTATGCCTGTTTTGTTTTACATTTACCACATCTCTGATGTAAATGTAGAAAATTTTAGATGTATTGCAAGTTTTAGAGTAACAGACATAATGTTTAGACATGTTTAGTGCGCGGTATTCGTGATCAGAAAGGTTAGGTTAGGTTTGGTGAAAGCCAAATAAAAGCCAACTTTTTTTGGTAAATTCTAAGATTTACTAGTTAAACCTAAGATTTATCATTGACACGCTTTTTTGTGACATATACATATGTAAACTTATTTCAATATTTTTTTAATGTTGTTATTACTTGCAGCCTAAATGTATGTAAGTGTTGTGGATTATATAAATAAATTTTCATTAATTAATTATTTAATTCATTTCGGATATTGGAGTAATTCAGTATTTTACTCAATCTAGTATGAAATTTGATGGTAAATAATATAGAAAAAAGATTACACTTTTTTTTTTAAGTGTGGCATTTATTTATTTAGAATTTAGATTTTTTTTAGGTTCACAATTCGATTGTGCCTTTTAAGTGATCTCTAACTAGCGGAAGTTGTCAATTTTATGCATAATTTTTTGTTTTTACGATACGCGAATTCATTACCAATTCTAAATGCATTTTATTAATTATTTGTTCGATCCATAGTATTTTTTAATGTGTTGATTCTATATTAATGTTATAAAGATTGGAGTTGTTATTTTTCTTTATGGAGTAAAAATTTTGCTCGTTGCGAAAAAATTCAGTTAGACAGATTAAATTATAAATATTTGATGGTAAACTCTCATTCATTTGATGAATTGCTAGTCAACATTAATTTTGTTACAATTAACGTCATTGTTTTTTTTTCTTTACTGAGCAAAGTCTCATAGTTGTCAGATTGGGAACATTTTTGCAATTTAGGGTAAAAAAGTTTTGGACAAATGGAAAAATGTTATAGACATTTTTAGAGGAATATTAATTGGGTGTGGAGAAGTTAGGGCACTT